TGTAATTGCGAAGAAATTTGAATAAATTTCGACGAGAGGATTAAAAATTCGTCGAATGGAACCAATGGAACATTTAAAATCACTCACGTAAAATTGGTTGAGACCGAGTGGCAACGATAAATATGCACGAGAGATTCGAATGAGAGCTCGAAAGAAGAAGGGATGATCTTGAACGAGAGGTAATTCCATCTCGATAGGGGAGAGAGGGAGGGATGGTAAAAATGTTCTCCTTCTATCCTCCCGAGCAAGTAGTTACCGCTAAAGTGGCGTGCTTCAGATATTCCTCGCACGTTTTTAAAGTGTCCCGGTGTCAAAGAGTTCGCAGAAACTCTTCCGGGGAAGGGGGAGCAGCACGAGTCGTCCACTCCCCAGAGAGGATTTTCCTGAATTCGTTTCAACTGGATTTCCTATCCTCGAGTCAGCCGCGCTTCGACACGATCGTTCCCGTGTACGTACGTATGTATAAAGAGAGACGACAAGAGTGTCACGCATTCACGGCACAAACGAAATGTAACTTCGTGGAACAATATTTTCGTTCGTATCTCGCGTGATCCGATGCCCGCGCTCTGTTTGCCCGAATATATACCACGCTCCAGAAGAGAAAACATACACACACGCGCGCACACACACGCGCGCGTGGATACGTATTACAGACGGAATCGGGTTTCATTTGGCCAGATTCGCTTCGAACTCGAAACTCGTTCTCTTGCAAATCCTCCTCCCGGATGTTTCTAAGGTTTCGGAACGAAAGACCGACACGCCAGTTTTTGTCATTCGCCATGAAACGAGTATCTCTCTCTCTCTTTCTCTCTCTCTGTCTCTTTCGTATCGCGATATCACACGAACAAATTTTCGGATTGCTTTTTTTCGTTGAAATACGTTTCGTATCTAATGTGACGCGATTTGCGATTCGAAGACCGAGACGTGGAGGTTGAAGGGGAAAGAGGTCAGAATTAGGCCGAGATGGAATGGAAGAAAATGGGTGGAGAGTCGAAAGAAGACGGGAGATGTGAAACGGGAATGGTAGGAGGGCAGGAGGAGGGTAGAAGGTACAAGAATAAAGCAGAGATGGTGATCGATTGCGTCGGTACATGCACAATAACAGGGGGATGGAGTCATGTACCTATCCGGGCTAAACAGCCCATTTGCCTCGCACAATGGAAGCGACGTTGCTGTGGGCTCGACTTAATTACCAGAGGCTGCCTTTGGCAGAGAGCGGGGAGGTAAAGAGAGGCGAGAGGACACCTTATCGGAAGCGGTCTACATCTAAGCTCCATTTACCAGGCTTCCACGGAAGCGCAAAATTCGCCGAGAAATCGTTCGTGGCTTTTAATCGTTCCGTTAATTTATTATTATCGAGATATTTGATTTTTCACCAAGAAGATTTTTACCGAGAAACATGATTCACGCATGGTTCAAAGTCATTCCGATAATCGTGAATTTTAAGAGTTTCGTCGAAACGAACGAGTTCGACGCACGTTTTTCTTTCTTTTTTTTTTTTTTTTTTTTT